ACGACTACGACTGAGACTACGACTACTACTACTACCACTACCACTACTACTACTACTACTACTACCACTACTACTACTACTACTACTACTACTACTACTACTACTACTACGACGACTACTGCCACAACTATTACGACGACTACCACAGCTGCTGCTACTACTACTACTACTACTACCACCAGCCGACACTGGCAGGCACCAGCATCTTCAGCTGCAGACCAGGAATGACAACACTAGCCATCGAAGATGGGTAATCGTTCACGTTCGAAAGGCGACAGCGCGAGGCGGGGAACCTTCGGGCTTTCACAGCTTAGGATGGGAGCCACCTTGCTGCGACTTGCCAGGAACGCTCCGCTCTGCAAAGAAAAACACAGACACTCCCTTGGGCCTTAGACTGTAACCGAAAGTCGGCGGCGAAAGCAGGCGCCGCAACATGAGACATCTGTGTTGCAAGACGGACAGTCCCAAGACCCCGGGCCGCATCACAAGCTTCAGCCCACATATATGCTTGTGAGTTTCTGAAATTCAAACTACTGCAAGTTGGCGTGTACAGCCTGCTCGGGAAACCTCAGAAAAACCCGGCGAGAAAGCCCCTGAGAATACATCAGCAATGGGGGAAGCAGAAAACTTACCCTTTGTCCTGGAATCAGCGTTGAATGCTGGCTTTTCTGTGTAGGCAAGCAGCATGTTGAAGACGCGTACTGACTTCAGCGTTGCCTTGGAGCCGAGCTGATCATAATAACGGGTTGCAGGCTTAGGGTTTAGGGTGGCTGATACTATGCAATACCGTCCTTGTTGTTTCTTGGAAGAACAATGTCGTGGAAATAAGCCCTAAGTTTGGCTCGTCCTACAGTTGTCTTGATGTCTTGAGTGAACCGTTCATCGCATACACGATAAATACAATGAACCACCGCGGCCAGAAACACGATTTAGAACTGTAGGCTCGGTTCAAGGAAACAACATTCAACCACAACCCCAAAGGGTCTAAGTACTAGTGTAGTAGATACTTTGGGGCCCAAGATATCTACTATATGGGTACTTAGACCCTTTGGGAACGGTGTGAGCCGAAAAAATTGACGTAGCCGGCTCGTGCCTTCCAGACTTCTCACACCTGTGCAACCCCAAGGAAGAGAGGCGTGTCTGGATATGTTTGGATGGTAGGTACGAACTGTAATTGAGATCTAAACCCCACGCTCTAGACTCTACGCCGTACTGGAGCACCTCTAAGGAATTACCTATATATGAGCTCGAAATGAACTTCCTGAATAAACAGACTGCGCGTACTGCTGATGTGGTTGTTGTGCTGAGGGTACTGGTACTAAAGGTGCGACACGCGCCCCTTCTACGCAGGCTACAAGTCGAGGGCACACATGCATGTTAGCGCAAGCGATCTGCCGTAAACCCTAAACCCTAAACCCTAAACCCTAACGCATAGACCCTAAAGTAGATGCACCACCGTTTGCTCACAGGCACCTCTCTTTGACAAAGATGCCTTTTGCTGCCGTGGCCGATGACCGAACATGAAGTACGCTAGTCGATGATCCGAGGAGACATTACTGCTAAACCCTAAACCCTAAACCCTAAACCCTAAACCCCTAAACCCTACACCGAAGCACTAAACCCTTTAAAGCCTACGCCCTCTCGAAAACCCCCAGATCCTCTTGGGCGGCTGGAACTGCATTCTCATCGTCACTCTTGTCCGAAGAACCAGGGTCCGAATTCTAGCCCAAATCGGACTGCAATGCAGGCTGAACCTGTCTTTAGGGTTTTTTTTGGGGGGGGGTGTTGGGTTTTAGGGTTTCTTGGATTTGGGGTTTTTTGGGGGTTACCCTAAGGGTCCAAAGGACCTAATAATCATGTACTTGCGTTACGGATAGTAGTTTTGTAGGTTAGTATTCAGAAGAGTATATGATTATTAGGTACTTGGACCCTTAGGTTTAGGGATTCACAGCTTCTGTGGCCGAAGCTCCTTTGCTGCAACTCCGAAGCCCTTACGGCTGACTCCGGAGACCGGAGGCCCCAAATCCTAAAACCGGAAACCACTTCAAAAGCTACAACCCGAAATCCAAGAAACCCTGAAACCCCCAAACCCAAAAGAACATAAAGACAAGTTCAGCATATTATAGTACAGTATAACACATTATACGTTTAAAGTATTACAGTACTAGAGGCTTCCTTTAATAAATACAGTATTATACCTCTTAGATCCCTTATAGGACTTCATATAGATCTCTTATGGAACCTTATAGATCTTTAGAACCCTATAAATCCCTTATGGAATCCTAAACTTTAAACCCTAAACCCTACCGAAAGACAAATTTCAGGGTTCAGGGTTTGCTGGGCCCTAAACCCTAAACCCTAAACCTTAAACCCTAAACTCAGGTCTTTCGCCCAGATGCAGGCTTCGTCTCGGCCGTGCCACCCGAGTAGAGGCCAGAGAAGAGCAGGAGAAGATACCTACGGTTTGGGCTTACGGGTTTAGGGTTTAGGGCTTAGGGTTTAGGGCTTAGGGTTTAGGGTTTAGGGTTTAGGGTTTAGGGTTTAGGGTTTAGGAGTATATGGTATAGGTTTAGGGTTGAGGGTTTAGGGTTCAGGGTTCAGGGCATCAAGGGGTTCCTTTTAGGCTCCTTTTTGGGAATCGATAAGGGTTTAGGGGCTTCCGGCTTGGGGGTTTAAGGTTTAGGCTTTAGGGGTTTGGGTTTAGGGGTTTAGGGTTTAGGAGTATATGGTATAGGGTTTAGGGGTTCTAAGTTAAGGTTTAGGGGTTAGGGTTTAGGGTTTAGGGTACCTAGGGCTTCGGGCTTGGGGGTTTAAGGTTCAGGGGTTTAGGGGTTTAGGGGTTAGGGTATACATGGTTTAGGGGTTTAGTTTTTTTTTGTAAAGTGTGTTGGGCCTTTCACTCCGCAGAAATGGCTTAGGGGCTTGAGGTTTAAGAGTTAGGTTTAAGGGCTTAGGGGTTTGGGGTTTAAGGGTTAGGGTTAGGGTTTAGGGGTTTAGGATTTAGGGGTTTACGGTATGGGGATGGACCCAGAGCAAACCACGGAAGCCAAAACATCAGGGAAGTTTAGGACTTGGGGTTTAGGGGTGTGAGGTTTAAGGCACAGTGTACGGTTGAGTAAACTCACACATGCCCCCAACGATGGTTTTTGCGACGATGTACAACAAAAGTTCGAAAAAGGCGAAGCAATTTCCATCATATGCTCCGCACATGCAACCCTACACCCGCGAACAAACATGCAATCACCTTAACCCGAAGTAAAAAGTAGCCCTAAACCTTCAACCCATACAACCGTACCCGAAACGCCAAGTTTTCGTTACACTTGAACCGAAACCCCAGAGACCCTTATCCCGATATCAGAAGCATCAACCGCAAACACCCTAAACGTTAAACTGGAGCCCTGCAAGGCCAAGTGAGCCCCAACAGCAACCGAGCTGCACCACAGCGATGACGTTCGCCTGCTTCTGGAGGATGGCGGAGCCTCTTCATTTTTTTATTTGTTGCGGTTCAGGGTTTAAGGCTTAGGGTGTGAGGCTTTGGGTGGGGTTTTCAGCGTTAACATTTGTCCTAGTAACTGGTCCTAGTACTATTACATTACTACTACGACGACGACTACTGCTACTCCTGCTGCTCCTGCGGCAGCTAACTGTCATTACTGTTGGTATCAGTATGATTATCCAAACTTCCACCTGTAATAATATTGCCAGTATTATCAAGGACTGAGGGTAGATGGTCCAATGTGGGATGATTTGGGCTTGGGAATGTGGTCTAAAGGCTTCTGAGGTTTGGAGCTTTGCACTTCGCTCTTTGGGTCCCTACCGGAAGAACCTCGCACAAGACTGGGTCCTTCTTCAGGAAAGTAAGTTAACATACCATGATAAGGACGTATAACAAACAAAAACCCTGGTGTCCGGATAGTTGTAACTTGAACTAATGTCTTAACACGAAACCAGGAGAGAGGAAGGGATTCCACAAGCATAATTTCTCGGGGCTGGGGGGGCTGCCTTGCGTAGGCAGCTCTGCTTTGGTTAGCAAAAAGCGTATATAAGCCCAATGCCCACAACTTGCACATTCTTCGACTCGTTTCGCCCTAAACCCTAAACCCTAAACCGTGTTGCACATTCTTCGACTCGTTTCGTCGTGTTTGGGCTTTGAGCTAAAACCGGGGGAAGGATCGGAGGCTGGTGTTTCGTGGGGAGTTCTCCTTGCCACTTCGCATTTACGGCGAAACGAGAGATAGGGTTTAGGGTTCAGGGTTTAGGGTTTAGGCGTTAGGGTTTAGGGGTTACTGGTCGACGGTACATCAGGTCTTGGCATTTCAGAGCTCTCCGCCCTGAAACCTAATCGCCAAGCCTGCCGAAGCTAAACCCTAAATCCTAAACCTTAAACCCTATACCATAAACCCTGACCCCTTACTAAACCCTAAACCATAAACCCTAGACCTTAACCCATAAACCCTTAAACCTAAACCTCAAACCCTAGCCCACAAACCCTAAACCGCTCGGAGCTGTCTTCGGATGAGCTTGATGTTCGGAGGGTAGTTTAGGATTGGGATGTCTGGGCTCACTGCCTTGTCAGTTGCTTCGGGCTCGGGGTTTAGGGTTTAGCGTTCAGGGTTTAGGGTTTAGGGTTTAGGATTGTGTGCAAGGTTGTCAAAAGTGGCAAGGGCTGCATAAGATCAGGTCCGGGCTTTGTAGTCTTATGCGATCTCTCTCTCTCTCTCTCTCTCTCTTGCTCGCTCTGTTTCTCTATCTATGTTTGCGGGTCTCGTTGATTCATAAGTTCTTGTTCAATGCAATTTAGCTAGGCTAGGCTCCATGCGGCCTTGAGGGTTTAGGTTTAGGATTTAGGGTTTAGGGTTTAGGATTTAGGGTTTAGAATTTAGGAGTTAGGGCCTTTCAAAGTTTCGGGTTTGGGGTCTAGGGCTCTGAAAGCTGGTGGTGGCAGCTCTAGGCTTGTCCAAGATTGTAACCAGTCACCTGCCATGCAACCCTAAACATGTTATCCTACTTAAAAGATCATGGGACTTAGTAAGTAAGGTTATAAGTCCCTTAATTGGGCTTATAAGTATAGTTACCTTAGTTATAACCCTACATACTAAGGCCCATGATCCTTTAAGTAAACATGTAATGCTAAACCTTCTTCGAACACTGTAAATGACGAAACATTCCCTAGAAAGGTCGAGATGTTTGTGCTGGTGCCTGCCAGCGCAAGCCACACGGCTGCCGTGCATAGGGTGTAAAGCCTGGCAATGCCACAGTTTCGGACGACTTTGGATTGGTATTGCTTCGGGAATGAAACTTATTTAGTTGGAGCACAGTCGATAACTTGTAAACAGACAAGGAACGTTGCACATCTATCCTCGGCGAATCACACTGAGCAACATAATCGAAGAATCGCAAGATCCGAGCCACTCGTCCTCGACCCCAATCCAAATATTGGCATCTCAATATAGTACAGGGCCGTATACTGCGCGGAGATGTACACCGGAAACTGAAAGCCCTATGCATAAACGTACCCTAGTCCACACAAGGAAGCCCCGGATACAACTCCTTGCGGCGAACAACATGTAAACCGAATGCTGCAAAATAGGCATAATCTATGAACGCAATTATGCAATAATGTGCTATACTGTACTATCTTAAGCCGTCTTATACAATACCGAACTGGATTTAATGTAATATGATATTTTTCCATCAGAAGGGGAAGGCTGGTCCTGTGCCTTCCTACGTACTTGATGAAAACAGTGATTGCCTGCACATGGCTGCCTGTTCGGTATGCTTGAGCGTAGCTACAGTTCTGTCCGCAAGCAACAATACATCTATCTTCCTGTCAACGTACATACATGCCTGTCATCCGGCTCTATACATGAACCTACATACATATATATGTACATATATAGCGAGAGAGAGAGAGAAAGAGTAGGTGACTGTTGGACAATGTACATGCTGGTATATGAATATGTGGCTCCATAAATGCATATGCTGATGTACCTCCTTGGGTATGCACGTCTGCATGCGTCCACAAAGGCGTGGCATACAACCTAATTTAAATTGCACGTTTGTGCTCAACCAGTATAGCCAGCGTGTATATGTGCAGACTTGCTTACACACACGCGTACTGCACAATGCTTCTCTGCACCGGCAATCTACAGTCATTTCACCTTGTACAAGCATCTCTACAGACATTGTAAACGTATACCTACATACATACATATGTGCATATATGCATACAAAACACACACGGCTAAGCAAGGCTTCCCGTATGAAGCCCACATTCCCAAGCCCCGCAAGTTCAAATCCACAATCAGTGGCACTCCCTAATTTCGGGAATCAGCGGTAACCAAAGGCAAACCGGCCCACCCCTCAGGTGCACATGTCTGCATTATGCTGGCGGGAACAAGTAACCAGACACTGTATATACATATATATATATATATAGAGAGAGAGAGAGAGGGACAGAGCAGAGAGAGAGAGAGAGAGGGAAAGAGAGAGAGAGAGAGACACCTTGAAGGGCTCACAACCCAATCCAATAAACTGCGACAAAGTGTGCCTGACGGGCTTCAGGGCGAAGCCGCAAATATGGGGGAGCTGGCCTCATCAAAAGCCACTTCAAAAATCCAGTTGGAAACACGCGCATGTAGCAGTAGAAGTACAGTAGAAGCCCAACAGTTGGAAACCCATAGCCTCAATCCTTAAGACTAATGTATAGGAAATCCCAGCACTAATTGTCCTTAAAAGGCTTCCAACTTTTCGGGTTTACTAAATTTTAGTATTAGTAGGAGTAGTGGTGGTAGTAGTAGTAGTAGTAGTCGTAGTAGTAGTAGTAGTCGTCGTCGTCGTCGTCGCCGTCGTCGTCGCCATGGTCGTACCGGTAGTGGTAGTGGTGGTACTAGTAGTAGTAGTAGTAGTAGTAGTAGTAGTAGTGGTAGTAGTTTTAGTAGTAGCAGTAGTCGTTGTCGTAGTAGTAGTATAGGAGTAGTCGTTGTAATCGTGGTGGTGGTGGTGGTGGTAGTGGTAGTAATATGGTAGTAGCAGCATAGTAGTAGAGGGAGCAGCAGCGGTGGGATGTGGAGAAGTGGTAGTGCTCGATTTTCACTCGATCTGATAGAGGAACTCTTTGCGGAAGGTATGGATGCTAAGGCTTGGCAAATCAAACGGAAGCCAGTTTCAGAACGCATCCAAAACAAAGAGTTGTAGCAACTGCATAGAATGGGACCCTCCACTTCCAACTACCCCATTGTTTGGGGCGTCCTCCGGGGCCTTAAGCCAGACACTCCAAGCACACTTCAAAGACAACCCGAAACTCGCGCACCCGGAGCTCACATCCCTGAGGCCGGGACTGTCTTGTGAAGAAGATTCCCCCTGGTTGCACGATTCTTTGATTAGGGTTGGAGTCGGTTAGAGATTGAATCCAGGATTTACAAATCAGGGGCTTCGAGTTCAGGCTAAGGATGTCAGGGCCTGCAGGTGTTACCAATGACAGGTTCGGGGGTTTACGGCCCGGCCTTGGGATTCAGGGTTGAGGGGTTTGGGGTTCAGGGTTTAGGGTCTGGAGTTTAGGCCGATCCTAACCCTCCAGGTGCCTACTATTTCGGGCCCTAGGGGCTCTGGTACCCTATATAGTAGGTACCTGGGAGGTTGGGGGCTCTCATCAGACATCGAAGATGTTTGCATCGTCAGCCTGATGATGCCGGTGCCCGGCGCAGGACAAGGCGGCTAGCGGCACTAATCAAGAACGCCCGGCAGTGAAGAGGCGATCCTAAGTTGTTCAGTGGGGTGTCTAATCCAATGAATCAACTCAATTTCCTTGTAAAACCCCAAGACCATGCGATTGATGATATAAATCCTGCATTACCCATAATAAGGAATATACCAAAATTCCCGTCGTTTAGCGTCCTTAAGGTAATGCAGGATGTATATCATATCAGCAGTATAGTATGGCATGCTGTAAGGCTGCGGGGAAGGGCCTCTTCCTGCCCTTGGCTTGGCGAAGAACTCGACAAAGAGCCGACCTGCGCCGCGGCTTCAGCAACGAACTGCGGCCTGAAATCTCGACCTTACCTGTAGCCGAAACACCCTACCTGCTTAGGGTTCCACAAGACAGATAGATAGATAGATAGA